ACTCAGAGAGCCAGAGTCAGAAGCTCCAGGACATCACATGGTTCTGCTTCCTTCAGTTGTTCCTATAAGTGATTCCCAAATTTTGTTATGGATAAAAATCTCTGAGGATCCTATAAAAATAGATTTTTATCTCAGATAATGTATATATATAGAGTCTACCCTCAAGGAGTGAAGTGTAACTTCATATTCTTTACGTATGGTCAGTGCATAGGGACTTCCATCCAAAGAGTATTGTATGAAAGAAGTTGAGGGAAGAATAATTTTACAGGAGAGAAACTTGACAAACATCAGTCGGGTGACTAAGTTTACCATCAATAGTGACAATTCATCTTGATAGCATCTACTCTTGTTATGAAGTGATGAGAATGGCTTGTCACCTCTGGAATCTTTCTCCCCAAAACATATGGCTCAATCTAATCATGAAGAAAACATCAGACAAATCCAAATTGTGGGTTATTTTACAGAATACCTGAGCAGTACTCCTCAAAACCATCAAGGCCATTAAAAATAAGGAGAGTCTGAGGAACTGTCACAGCCCAGAGAAACTTAAAAACTAAATGCAATGTGGAATCCTGGATGGCATCCTGGAGCTAAAAAAGGGACATTGGGTACAAACAAAGGAAATATGAAGGAATTCAGTCATCTTGATAACATCTACTCTTGATATGAAATGATGAGAATGGCTCGTCACCTCTGGAATCTTTCTCCCCAAAACATATGGCTCAGTCTAATCATGAAGAAAACATCAGACAAATCCAAATTGAGGATTATTTTACAGAATGCCTGAGCAGTACTCCTCAAAACCATCAAGGTCATTAAAAATAAGGAGTCTGAGGAACTGTCACTGCCCAGAGAAGCTTAAGGACTAAACACAATCCTGGATGGGATCTTGGAGCAAAAAACAGGACATTAGGTACAAACAAAGGAAATCTGAATGAATTATTCACTTTAGTTAATAATAATGTATCAATATTTTGGTTCATGTATTGTGACAAATGTACCACACTAATGTGAGATGTTAATAGTAAAGAAAACTAGCCAGGCTCAGTGACTCAGTTTATAATCCCAGCATTTTGGGAGGCCGAGGTGAGTGGATTGCCTGAGCCCGCGGGTTCAAGACCAGTCTGAGCAACTTGGCGAGACCTCTTCTCTACAATAAATCAAAAATTAGCTGGGCTAATGGTAACATGTACCTATAGTTCCGGCTACTTGGAAGGCCGAGGTGGAAGGATCGCCGGAGCCAGCAGGTTGACACTGGGATAGTCGTGAGTGTTCCACTGCACTCCAACCTGGGTGATGAAGTGAGACTCCAAATCAAAATTAATTAATTAATTAATAGAAAACTAGGTATAGGGTATATGAGAACTCTCTGTGCTACCTTCACAGCTTTTCTGTAAACTTAAATCCATTCTGAAATGAAAATTTATTGTGAAAAATTAACTTCCCCAGGGATTGTAATTCAGGAGGTACATTTAAGGAAGAGGAAAGTCAGTTTTGTGTATTATTATCATGCATGCCTGTTGATTCTGATGCAGCCAATTCATAGACCGTGCTTCAAAAATCCTCTTCTATTCTTAGGGTTCTCATTCTTGGGTACATTTTGGACACCTGTGTCCCACCCAAGATGCTCTGATTTAATTGGTCTAGAGCATGATCTTGATGTTGGGAGTATGGGCATTGGGGTCTAGATTATAATCTGGGCATTGGAAATTTATTTGCAGCCAAATTTAAAACTCACTCACTATACCCGTGCTATCACTAGCCACATGTAGCTACCCAAATTTAAATTTAAATAAGATTAAATAAAATTTAAAAACTCAATTCCTACATGCATTTCAATGATCAATCGTCACATGTGACCAGTGGTTACTGTGCCAATGTTGAACAATATCGGGCAGTGCTAATATTGAATATTTTCATCATTACAGAAGGTTCTGTTGGACAACACTGGTCAATACCATTGGTGTGAAAGGGATGTTTGTGGCTTTCTTTGAGAATTTGTGAAAGGAAGATTCCCTGTGGACTGAAGGGAAGAACTATAAGACAGGTTGCTCTTATTGGTGTTGATTAGAATAACCAACTGGTCCTGGTTTTCCTGGGACTTTCTAAAACACTGAAAGTCCCACATCCTGAGAAACCTCTCAGTCCCAGGCATACCAGAAACATTTATCCCCCTAGAGATCCAGGGACCTTTGTAAAGAACTTTATCAACAGAAAGCATGGGCTGTTGGGTCTAGTCAGGTCAGGCGGGACAAGCTGATGCCAATGAACTGGTGCCAATATTGTCCTGTAAGCTTTCATGAGGCAGAGATGTTGAAAAGTGAAGTTATCTGCCTTTGCATGATGGTTTAATCTTGCTCCCTTAGTAGACCCTGACACCCAGGCCACTACCCACAACTCTCTGGATATACCATAGACCAGGCAATATTCTAAGTACTTCTAATTTATTAACTCTTCATATCTCATCACCATCTTGTGATAAGGCATAATTATTAACCCTATTTTTCACATAAGAATGCCAAGGCACAGAGAAGGCACAGTGCTAGTAAGTGACAGATCTGGAACTTGACCTCTGAATCATAATGCCTGTGTATTGATCCAAAAATGTTTGCTTTTAGACAAAGCCAAGGTCTGGCAGCCAATTGTCGCTACATTTCTCCCTTGTGCTGCATGTTGTTTTTCTCACATTTAGTGTGCCAAAGTGTCTTCTTTTAATGGGAGAGTTCTCTGATCTCAATTTTTGAAATAAATGAGAACACTACGAAAGTAAACACTTCTAGGAAGTGTCGAATCAAATCTCCCATGAAGAATTTCAATTGTGCTCAAATGAAGAGCAGAGAAAATGTCTAGCAAACTCCTGCAGATGTGGCCAGCGATGGCCATTGGGCCAAAGCAGACTTGATGTCTCTTGTCTGTGTGAGCTGTCTTAAGTGAACTCAGCCTTGGGTTCTCCTGAAAAATTCCAAGAATGGGAGATAGAAAAGGGTTTTCTCAACCAAAATGAAATTTATGAGGTGAGCAGATAGCTAATGAGTGTGATCAGCCCAGAGAAAACAATTTCCTCAGCTCAATTTTTCGGCAGCAATATAAAATCATTTTCTTTACCAAACATCCATATTATATGCATATTTGCCAGTATTTACAAGTATTTAAGTCTACAAGGTACCAGGGATGATAAAGAATAATCAAGAAATTGTTCGGTGATTATTGAGCACTTACTGCTTACTCAGCTCTGGATTGAGCCCCAAAGAAGATAAAATTGTCCCAGTGCTCAAGGAATTTACAATAAATCATCACTAAATGATGTTACCAAGATGGTGCAGGATGTTTGTAGAACAACATATCAGGAGATGATTCTTGTATATGTGCTTACAGCTTGGAATTTATTTTACAGTATCTCTGAACTGCAACTAAGTTACCAGGCACTATTGTTTTTCTAATTAGTCCCTAACTCTTTGGATACAGGAGAGATATCTGGCCACTTGACTGGAGACTGCTTTGGACACACACACATACTCACCCAGTGCTGCTTTCTCTCACTGAAGAGACTTGGATAGGATATGAAAATATGAATCTCAAACCCAGACAATAAAACTGTTTAATCACTTACTCGGAAATTTATTTTTAGTTATGAGTCTTCCCTGGTTAGTGTCATAGATTATTAAAAAAAAAAGTAAGAAAAACGGAATCTTGAGTTCTCTTCTAGCATGTCTCTTTATTTCATCATAGTCTGATTACTATCAGGGCAATGTGTATACACTATATAATCAAGGAAGAAATGATGGAAAAATCATGGAGGTGAACACAAAACTCTTCTCTGTGGTGTTTAAAGGAACCGTCAACCAGAACTACACAGACACGGCTTGAGGCAGAAACAGGAAGAAAGGGGATCCTACCTCTATTCAAATTGCTGTCCTAATAAAGGAAATATGGAATTTTTGCTTCACATGATCCCTCTGATGAAAATTATTGGATGAACCCCAAATGCCCAACTTTATGTTGTGAAGAGTAGTCTTCATGTTAGCACAATCCGACAGTTGCATTTTCTGGTTGGAAAAACTAGACACCAGAACAACATAGAGAAATCCTGTTGTTATAATTTAGTCTTAAGCTATTTTCCCCCCTAATAACCAAGAGTGAAGTTTCTCAATGATAACTATGTATGTGTATGTGTACCATAAATGAAGCACATTATGACATAGCAACATGAGTGAACAGCTGGTTCACAGTTGTAAAATAAAACCATTCTTTCTGAGATTTTTCTCAAATGTCAGCAGTCCAGAAATACTCATAGTGTCCATTAAAAATATTTATATTATGAATTTAGTGGGAAGCTTGACTTGGAAGAAGGAAATTGACAAATGTAAAACAATTGAAGCTATCCAGCAACACTTGAGATAAAAGCTTATACCTTTGAGACATGACAGGGTCACCTGGTCTATTACCTGCCAAATGGATTGGTGGGCAGAGAGGAGAGTTAGAGGAGCTTTCTTTGGACAGTCTCTTTTGTCTCTCAAACTAATCCTGTGATAGGGTGCTTGGTGGTCTCTCTGGTCAAAGGATGGTCCCCACTTATTCTGCCAAATTGCTCAGTGACAAATTAGTAGACATATTTAATGTACCAAGAAATTAATGTAGTTACAGTAACACTGGCTTCCACATTCCTCTTTGTGAAACATGGGTCCGTGTCTCCATACTTCAACTCCTATTTCCACTAACATCCCTCATGGACTTGATTTATAAACAGTGTTACTACAATAAAATCATCACTCCCTCTATATATTTATAGGCAGCAAAGGCAATCTTTGTAGGAAACTTTTAAAAAGTCAGTGCTAGGCAGACTCAACTCATTCCTGTTCTCAGTTCATGAGGAAATGACTTGAAACACCAGCGTGACAACAAGCTGGATCCTCTGAGGAATGTGCAAACCGTGCCTGCATCTGCCCACTAGACTAGCTCAGTATCTGGACATTTCTGCAGTTGCTCTGAAGGTTTGGGGCGTTTATCTCCCACAGGCAGCTGAGCTGCCTCCTGTTTTGTGAGCAGAGCAGTGGAATGCAGTGGAAGAGACCCAGGCCTCCGGCCATCCAGATTAGAGAGTTTTGTGCTGAGGTCCCTATATGGTTGTGTTAGACTGAACGACAGGCTCGAGTCTATCTTTGTTCCTTGTTTGGGAAGCAAGTGGGAGGGGAACAGGCCAATGGGCTATATAACCCTTCGGAGTTCAGCTTTCCTGAACACCACCCAGCGTGGAGAAGCCCAGCCAAGCACTGTCAGGGTAAGTGGCGGCAGCCCAGGGATGTGACTTATAGATTCCAGTGGCTCTTTTATTACCCAGTATCACAAGGTGTCGTCTGCAGGGATTTGGCTGGACTCATGCACTGATATTTTTGAATGAAGATCGTGCTCCTAAAACGATTGTAGAGTTTCGCTTTACTGATCTAGCGGTAAAGACAAAGCTAACATGAAGCTTGTTGTGGTGGAGGATGTGGAGAGGAAGACAGAATGAAATTTTATCCATTCATGCCATCTGTAAAGTCATCTAAATCAGCAACCTAGATCTTGCAGCAAATCATAGGCGTGCAGGCTAGCTGTCTGGATTAAGTTATGCACTTGTTTATATTTAGCACTGAAAACTCTGGGATTTGTTTGTGGTTCAGATTGGATGTGGGAATTTTTCACTGGATTGTATTTTTGGTTTAGCCAAGGTGTGTGGTAATGAATTTTAGAAGTGAGCAGAGGGTAGCTGCTTACTTTTTGATTGAAGCTGAATTTGTGTATTTATTTCTGGGTTTTCCTGGCTGTGACTGGCAGTGTCTTATGTTAGAAATGTGTCTGTCTTCAGTGTATCTGCGAGCTTATGTGGTGTGGTGCATTTGCAGCAGAGCGTAGCAGGTGACCTTCTGAATTTTTCCCTGCAGAGAAAGAGGGAGGGAGCAGAGCCAGCATCTGACAGCTGTGTGTGTTTCCGCGGGGATGTCTGGTTTGCATTTCTCTCAGCTTAAAGTTCCCCTTAGGCTGGTGAGGAGAGCTTGACTGCAGAGCCAGCCCGGCCACCCCAGGCTGAACTTTGTTGTAAATCAGGGCTTGGCAGCTCCAGCCTGGACTGGAGTTTGCATGCTGAGATTTTTCTTGCATTTTGTGATTCATGACTAAATATGGTTTGCATTTCAAGACCAAAGAGCTGGGAACCGGAACGTTCTTCCCCCCTTCTACTACGACTCATTTTTGGCACAGGATGCACTTTAGTCGCTTGGAGCAAACCCCCTGACCCGGGTGCAGTTCCAAAAGCAGACATTCGAGCGTGTTTTACCTAATTAGGAAATGATTTGCTCCAAAGCAAGCTGTTCATTCAGGTTAGATAAGAGTTGTAAACCACTGAGCCAGCTCTTTCCAGGGACACAGAGACTTCTTCATTGAGAGCACTACTTTTAGAGAATATAAAATTCTTCCTGGATATTATTTTGTCAAATAAAAACTCACTTGCTGAATTTGGGTATTTATTTTTCCGTGTTCTTGCTGATGCTCAGTCTACTTTTTCTGAGTCTATTCAAACACTCCTCCCAAACCATCACTGCCCAAAAAAGAAGTTATTGATAACATCCCTGTACTTATGGTTACCAGACCTTCCCATTTTCAGAGGCCATCTTAATTCCAAATGTTTTCTCCTGTTTTCAGCCCTCACTTTTGGTTTGGAAAGTAGACTGAGCCCATCCACAGAGAGGCTGTTGGTCCCTTGGGGCTGGCTGCTTCTGACAGATACCCAGCCTTCTTCAGTCTCTCTTGTCTTCCTTATAGTTTTCACCTGTCTTCTAAAGCTTCCTAGTCTTCCTTGAAGGAAGCCAAATCACACAAACATAATTCGGCATCTGGCAAGAAAAGAGAAGGGTGGGAAAGGAAAGGGCAAGCCAGTTATAAGTCCCATTTCAACTCTTGCAAGTGGAATCCACACACTGAAGATTTTCTTTTTTTTTTTTTTTTGTTTTTTGAGTTGGAGTCTCACTCTGTCGCCCAGACTGGAGTGCAGTGGCCGCTCCCGGCCACCGCAGCCTCGACCTGCTGGACTCCGGCGATCCTTCCGTCTCAGCCTTCCGAGTAGCTGGAACTACAGGCGTGCGCTACCACGCCCGGCTAATTTTTGATTTATTGTAGAGATGAGGTCTCACCTGCCAAGGCGGGTCTCGAACCCGCAGGCTCAGGCAATCCACTCACCTCAGCCTCCCAAGGTGCTTGATTACAGGCTGAGCCACTGAGCCCAGCTAAGATTTTCATTTTTAAGCCTGGGGCAGTGTGGAAAAAAGCAATGCTTAGAAAGAAAAAGATGTGAAGAATGATAATAGTCATACAATGATATCAGTATGAATAATGATAAAACTAATATTTATCGAGAACTTACTATGTGTATGCCACTCTAAATTATTTTAAATGCTTTTTAAAAAAATTAAATCTCTGTAAGAACGCCCTGAGATATGTATCCATATGGTTTCTCTTTTATGGCTAAGGAAATTCTGATTTACAGATACTCAATAACTTACTAAATCACACAGCTTCTTCATAGAGGAGGCCAGCTTCAAATGCAAAATACCGTGATCTGTCTTAATTGTATCAGTTCAAGGATCTTAGACAAGTCACCTCAACTCCTTGAGCCTTGGTTTCCTTGTCAGTTGGTATTTCATGCCCTGATTTTAAAATTTATCATCTCAATTGAGGTTTATGGCCTTTGCAAAGAGTGATACTACATAAAGTACTGCTGTGGAAGTTCTAGGTAGTTGGAAAAATACAGCTTTAATTTTGTGAAAACAGTAGGGTGGAATTCCAACTGTAATAGTTCCCTTCCCTCCCACCTCTTTGCCCCCCTTCACCTCTCTCCCCATCAATTCCCAGGTATTTCCTTAAGAGAATTGCCTTTTATACCTCGGCCTGGATGTGCAATAGGTTCACCAATTTAAAAGAAAAAAATCTTCCTCAACTTGAAACTCTGAGATCTCAATGCTAGGTAGAGAACTCTGGGTACCCTTCTCTTTACAGAATATTTCCACCTAATTCTGCTTGGGAAAATGGAAGAGATACTGAATTGGAAGCCAAGGGGTAGCCAAGAGGCCCTGATCTCTGGCTGGACCTCTGTCTCTAATGTTCTGTGTACCCTGGAACAAATCATTTCCCTTGGGTTTTCTTAACTGTAAAACTCAGAGCACTGAATGAAAGTGTCCTCTCATAGACCTTCAATGCCCAAAATTTGTAAGTCAATACTTCTGTTCCAGCCTTTCCAATTTTGTCAAAGGATTCAAGGCTAAAAGTAGGTTATTTAAATTTTGATAATTAAAAACACCTATAAAACCCACCACTTCACTGGGCACGGTGGTTCACACCTGTAGTCCCAGCACTTTGGGAGGCCGAGGCAAGAGAATCGCCTGAGCCCAGGGGTTTGAGATCAGCCTGTACAACTAAGTGAGACCTCATCTCTACAATAAATAAAAAAATTAGCTGGCACATGCCTGTAGTTCCAGCTACTTGGAAGGCTGAAGCAGAAGGATCACCTGAGCCCAGCAGGTCAAGGCTGCAGTGGCCGTGAGCATGCCACTGCACTCCAGCCTGAGTGACAGAGTGAGACTCTGACTCAAAACAAAACAAAAAAACTCACCACTTCAAATTAATTCCCACTAATATCTTGGTAAATGGGATTAATCTTTTTGCAATGTAGAAAAATATTTTTTAACTAGATCATACAATCTTATTTTCTTTAATCTTTATTTTTACATAAGACTATTCCTTTGGCTTATCCTTTTGCTCATCTTTCTTAAGGCAGAAAAGTATTCTATTATTTGATATATAATCCATCAGATTCACCCTTGCTTGTCAGACTTTTAGTTTAAGTTACTTTTATCAATGGAGAGTAACTGCAGTCCTCCCAAATGTAAAACATCTTCTTAGAAAGTTTTGATTTATTTTGATGCCTCTCTGAGGGTAAAATAAAAGTCCTCAGGATCCAAGAAAATATTTTTCCTTTAAACATTTACATTAAATACTTGAATATTTAAAAATTTATCAATTTTCACATGCTGCTTCTACCTCAAAAATCTACTTTTCAAAAAGTTTTGAAAAAAATTTTTGACGGTATCACATATGTAGGAAAATGTGCATTCAGGTTGATACAGGCAGAAACATCTAGATGCTTCTTTAACATACAATAAGTGACTCGTTCCTGTGAGTAGCTAGTCCTCAGTCTGGAATTCCCATCAGCACTCTATAGTTTATTCATTCATTCACTGGTTGAGCCCATCTTTAAAGTGCTCATGACAACATGTGACTTGCCAGTCACTACACTAAGGGCGGTTGCATAAACATCGCAGTCACAGTTTCAGCATGTGGAAAGCTTAAAGTACTTGTGATAAATGCTGTGTTAGAGAAGGGTCAGAGGAGAGGGCTAGGAGAACAGAAGAGGGGCCCCAAACCCAACCTGGAGGTGAGAGTAGTCCGTAAGTGCCACAAAGGTTAAATTACATCTGGGGCTGCTTCCTCCCTGTTTCCTGTAGAACCCCGTGAAGTAGCTCCGCTATGTGTGAAGAAGAAGACAGCACCGCCTTGGTGTGTGACAACGGCTCTGGGCTCTGTAAGGCCGGCTTTGCGGGGGACGATGCTCCCAGGGCCGTTTTTCCATCCATTGTGGGACGTCCCCGACATCAGGTGAGCAAAATTCAAAACTGTAACAGACAGAGAACGGGACTACAAATTAGGACCCTCTATGTCAAGTGTATCCACAGATTGTCTATCGCTGTCTGCCCAGAAATGATGTAACCTTGTTAAAATTATACTCTGACGATTGAGGCCCAAGAGCAAATGTCAATCTCATACGTAATGTAGCCAGATTAAATGGTTGGTGTCTAGCAGATATAAAGTCTACCCCCTTTTCATGTGTTCTTTTTGTCTGAATCTAATCATCATCATCATGACTATTATATTATCAACACCAGAAATATTTATAGGTTATTTTAATGTATACTATAGTTACTTGTTTTTTTTAAAGAAAACAAAAATAAAAGCCCAGGTCACTCAACCTCATTGAGTTTGATGTTATATTAAAACAAGCATTGATATTGATATCAAGTGTAATGTTATAAAATGTTCACGGTCAACAAAATATATCTGAACAGCTACATACTTTTACATATCATGTATAAGCAAAATATTGGTGGTAAAAATTGGGTAATTTCTTCTCGGAAATTCTCATTCGCATCAGAAATGTATTTTGTACATTGAGGCTATCTGATGGATGTTTATGGCTCTCAGCTTATCATATATTCATGAGAATAAGTAATAAATCAATAAAATCTGTCAGTCACGTCACTGAACGTTATCCATTGACAGTAGTCTAAGTAAGCCTCTATTTTGTGACTGTGTAGTCCTAGTTCTAAACAGTCATTACAGTGCAATGTTAAATCTAGTGATGAGAATTTTTTCCAAGCTTCACCTTAATGATTAAAAAAAATGCAACTGATTAGTTAAGGCAAATGTCTTAATAGTTCATGGATATGAAATTGTTGAGGGATTAGAAATCAAGCTTCAAGTGGTTATTTGTAGACACAATGCTTTTGCTTACAATGGTTAAAAAGCAATACTCATATACTTTGGGATAGATGACAGCTTTAGAAGTACAGTTTAAAGGATTTATAAGAGGCAACATGGCACCATTTAACTAACATCTAAAATTCCATGCATTCTTTCAACAAATAATTATTGAGTGTCAAAATATGTGCCAGACAATTTGCTAGAGCGGTGGACAAGACAGACACAATCTCTGCTTATCAAGGAACATAGAAGGTAAAAAATACAGTGTGAAGTTGCCTTTCCCACAGTGTACCCTGGTATTTGGAGGCTGATTCTAGTCTGTTTCCAATCAACAATGAGATATTGCTTAAGAGCACAGTGGCATAAGCCTCCTTATGTTGTTGCTGGTATCAAAAGAATAACTTTCTATCTCAATGATTTGACCTTTTGTGACTTGATTATAATCCATTCACAAGTTTTGGGAAAGGCTGACTCATAAACTGTTGAACCTTTTTAGGGGGTGATGGTGGGAATGGGACAAAAAGACAGCTACGTGGGTGATGAAGCACAGAGTAAAAGAGGAATCCTGACCTTGAAGTACCCAATAGAACACGGCATCATCACCAACTGGGACGACATGGAAAAGGTACCGGGGAGTTTCCTGCAGGTTGAGCCCTCAGACTGCATAATTCCTGTGGTCTGTGACTCCAAGCATCACACTACTGCTGGGGAAAATAACTGGCTCAAATTGCTCAAGTGCACTTGTACTTGTTAATATTTATTCTGGGCTATTATTCACTGAAAAAAAAAATCCTGAATTGTTTCTTTAAAGAAAGATCTCAGGCCGAGTAGGTTGGCTCTTGCTGTAATCCCAGCATTTTGGGAGGCTTAGGCAAGAGAATGACTTGAGCCCAGGAGTTTGATATCAGCCTAGGCAACATAGCCAGACCTCATCTCTACAAAAAAAAAAAAAAAGAAAAAGAAAAGAAAATTAAATGGGCATGGTGATGCACACCTGTAGTCCCAGTTACTTGGGAAGTTGAGAAAGAAGGAGATCAAGGCTGCAGTAAGCTGTAATTGTGCCACCGCACTCCAGCCTGGGTGACAGAGATTCCAACTCAAAAAAAAAAAATTTTGCCCACTGATTTATCAACTGATTAGAGTTTATAAACTGATTAGAGAAGACAGTTCTGTAGGTGCGAACAATAGCCAATTCCCAGCCCTTTCAGTGGTGGGAATTAATAGTCCGTTGCTCTGGCCAACTGGGCTACCCTCCAAGGACAAATATCGTATAATCAACAGCCTAGAGAATCATCCTTCTGTTTAGTCTCATCAGAGACTGCATGGTTCTTCCTCTCAGGGGAATATGGCTAAGGACGGGTTAAAACACTGGGCATAGACTTAACCAGCTCATTCTTGAAGGCATTCATGAACTCACACCTGAACATCTAAAAAAAAAGTTTTTAGTTTTCACTGTAGAAAAGGGGACTATAGCATGATAGATTTTATGCATTCTTGAATGCCTTTCAATGTATGTAAGCACAGTAGCTACTGATGAAAGTTATAACGTAATATTTAAAAATTATTTCACTGTGTTGCATTAAGCAAGGCGTTATCGCCCAGATTCTTATAAAAAAGCTAGTAAGAAGAAGAGTTAGATGCAAGGATTATGATGTTTGCATTAGGCATTTCGGAAACACCAGTGATCAGAGAAAAAAACAGAAGGAATGATAAAAAAGTAACATAAAAAAATTTTAAATGCAGCAAGCTATATTAGAACCATATCTGGCTGGGCATGATGGCTCATGTCTGTAATCCCAGCACTTTGGAAGGACAAGGCAAGAGGTTTGTCTGAGCCCAGCAGTTTGAGACCAGCCTGGGCAACATGGCGAGACCTCATGTCTATAATAAATTAAAAAAGTTAGTCGGGCACGGGGATGCATGCCTGTAGTCCCAGGTACTAGGGAGGCAGGCTGAGGTGAAAGGATCACCTGAGTCCAGCAGGTCAAGGCCGTGGTAGCCATGAGTGTGCCACTGCACTCTAGCCTGGGGGACAGAGTGAGACCCCCAACTCAAAAAAAGAACCATATCTGGCCCTTTATTTATTCATCTGCTCACTATTCTCTCTCTCTCTCTCTCTCTCTCTCTCTCTCTCTCTCTCTCTCACACACACACACACACACACACACACACACACACACATCAGTTTGAAAGAAAAATGCATCTAGGTGCAGTGGCTCACATCTATAATCCCAGTGCGTTGGGAGGCCAAGGCAGGAGGATCACGTGAGCCCAGGAATTCAAGACCAACTTGGGAAACATAGAGAGACCCTATCACAAATTTTTTTAATTTAAAAAAAGTTGTTACTGGAATCTATCAGTAATAATGCTTAAACTTCTGTCTCTCTACAAAAAGTATGTATCAAGTTTGCTTAGTCTAAGATTCTAGATTTGGTAAGACTGCAATTTGCAAAGAGAAGAAGATGTTAATATAAGTGGGAAATACTCTTAAGAGTTTTTCCATGGAGCTGACAGCATCTTAGAATGTGTGCTCTTGGAGAGAGAAATTCAAAGTATCTTCTAGGGAGGGGAGGACACTTTAACTTCACTAAAGAAACAGAACTTTCAGAAGTCTTATTTTCCTTTTCAAAACCACAAATCCAAAATCAGACAAACTAGAAAGATAAAGACTTCAAAGCTGATTTTGGTTTAGTTACGTACAAACTTTCATTAGCAGTCCTTGTTTTGTTTTAACTCTAAGTTAAGCTAATAGTCCTGGTGCTAGTGGAAAATGTTAAGGCTTTTAAAGATTAATTAATTTAGCCCTTTTTGCAACAGTTTGTTCTTTTGGCATCCAGGGACTAAAGAGGGTTCCCAACCATAAAACACATATACTTGTGTCCAAAGTACCTTTGCAAAAATGTTATACACGGGCATGAGCTTTTTCGGAAACACCTGAATGCCAAATGTTTGAAACTGAATGGAAGGTCCAGAGTGGGCCAGAGGAAGCTTTTCCCAGGCCTGCATGGCAAAGAGAGGGTTGGAGACAAGAGGCAGGGCACCCTCTTCTCTCTCCCCTGCAACGGTCAATTCCCTGGAAGAATTTAAAATGACAGTTAAGTTTTCAGATCAGCTTCCTTTATTCATATATACATTCATTTGTCCTTTTATTTATGAAACAAAATCATTTCCACATGCACATGAATGAAAATGGAAACAGGGTAAAGAGGATAGAATTGAATAATTATAGCACTATTGGCCCAGGCACCGGGCTTAATACCCATGACAAAACTAGAGCTGAGAAGGCTCTAAAACTTGCCCAAGCTCACACAACAGAGAAGTGGCCCAGCTGGGACTTGAGCTCAGATTTGACCCCAGAGCCAGTGTTCTTCACCTCTGCACCTTCCTGCCTCACAGACATGGGTTAGAGATGCTCGGTCTGTGACTAGATGTGTCAATATTGCGCCAGTACCACCATTGGTAACAGAGGGAGGAAAATAATTAGTGTACACTTCATTGGGTATTTGTGCAGATTCAGTGAGGTAACCCTAGAGCTACTACCCAGCCCAAGGCCTGTCCCAAGATACAACTCTTTGGGTAAGGTACTCACCATCTTTGAGCATCGGTTTCTGCATGTGTAAAACCATAGACACATGATAAGTACTTGTGACATTTCCTTCGGTCCTGGTTTCAGTGAGCTCCTTCTGGTCCCTCTTTGGGATCTACAGGGCCCCATGATGGCACATCATGTGTTTCTCTTCTGTCCTCCAACTCCCTAGATCTGGCATCACTCTTTCTACAACGAGCTTCGTGTCGCCCCTGAGGAGCATCCAACCTTGCTCACGGAGGCACCCCTGAACCCCAAGGCCAACCGGGAGAAAATGACCCAGGTAAATATCCACCCCAGCACCCAGCACTTTGGGGCTTGGAGGAAGTCCTGTTAGGAAGTAGCCATGCAGGACAACCGAGAGACAGCCTGAACCAGCAGTCCCCAGCCAGACTGACCACCTTCTATGAACTCAGGAATTCCAAAGGACAGGAACATCTTGATAGGACTCACATCCTTACCTTTGTCTCCAAAAGCAATAGGAAATTTAAAAGATTTAATTGAGAAGATGGCATGTCTAGGTTAAAAATATCTGAGGAGAAGTCATTCCTAATGCAGTATAACATACAGTAAGAATTTGGATTCAGGGTCAGACAGATTTGCAAACTGGACCTGTCACTTAACAGTTGTGTGACCTTAAAGAACCCACTTCATTTCTCAGAGCCTCCATTTTGTGTCTATAAGTTAAGAATAATATTAGTACTATTATTTTTCAAGAGATTGATGTAAAGATTAATGAGGCAAAGTGATAAATGTGTACCATGATGCCTAATATAATCAACTCCTACCAAATAATGACTATTATTGCCATTATTGTTACTTGTCTAAAGTTCAAGACCTTCCCATAGGATACTATCCAGTCCACCAGACAGAGGAGGTTTCTATTAACGAACACTATTAATGATGCACTATTAACGAACATCTAATGTCAATTCTACATGTGCTATTGTCAAGCACTGGGCTCAGCGTTTTACATTCATGTCTCTTTAAGTCCTAGCAATGTGAAGCAGGAACTGTGATTATCCTGATTATGTACATGAAGTATCAAGGCTCAGGTGCATTATGTAATTTTTCTGAGATCACACAGCTAGAAGTGGCAGAGCCCATGACCTTTCAGCTTTGGAGAATCACACTTGTAAATAACTGCAAGGCCTTATCCTCAGAGAAGCTCTTGGTGTGTACTTCAACACACGAGCAGTTCTTCTCTACAGGGGAACATCTGCTTGCCTGAGAGACACTGCATTTGGCAAGAGATGTTGATTCTGATGATGGTTCTTGCTCCTGTGAGTGATATGAAGTGAAGGCAGACTGGTTGGAAATTATGGCTCTCTAGCAAATATCAGACATTCTGATTCACAGCTGGGGAGAGGTCTTACAGATGGGGAAATAAAGGCCCCTGAACATCTTCTGATGCTCAAACATCTCATCAGTGACCTGGAGACAGAGGATCTCGTCCTAATCTTGTCCCCGGATTGGCACATCAACTTTCGCATGTGGTCTTCTGTTACCAGTGGGAAGCTTTTGTCTTCCAGGAATCAGGGCCTCTCCCACTGCAGCCTGCATGGCCTCCAATTCTAGGACTGGCATTGACCCAGCAACTACATTAAAAAGTAGAGCAGACAAATTGGAACCTCAGACAAACCACAGAACTAGGTTTAATCCCAGTCAGTCTCAGCTTCAGGCTTAAAGGGTCTCTCTCTTTTTTTTTTTTTGCCAGGGAAAATCAAAACCTGGATGTTGTCTTTTCTCTGTCTTTTGGCTTTGATTTAGTTAATAAGCCTTTGGCTGTCTACACTGGAAGAACCTGAGAGCTCATTTAGTCCAAACTCCTCCTCTGTCTACAGTTGAGAGAGCTAGAAGGAAGCCACCACTAGTCAACAATTAGTTTGGTGAATTCTCCCAGTTCACACTCAAGTCAGAACCAGGGCCAGAGTCAGAGCTAGATTTTCTGTTCTCCTGGCTAGGTATTATGTACACACTGCCTCTGCTGTCCCCCATTCCATCAGGTCATGTGATGTGATATGCTGGTTTCTCCATTCACACTTTCATTTCTCCTCTTCAAGTGACTAGAGCGATCTTGGCCTTCCTTACCTTGGTCTTTTCTGCCCAGAACCGGGCAGGTCCCACTGCTTCCATCAACAAGGTGTGCTCTCTTGCACATTCTTTGCCAGAAAGGCACCATCACTAACTCAACTTTTTGGATTGTTTTTCAGATCATGTTTGAGACTTTCAATGTCCCAGCCATGTATGTGGCCATCCAGGCGGTGCTGTCGCTCTACGCCTCTGGTCGCACAACTGGTAGGTGGCTGGGAGGGAGGGGGAGCTTGACTGAGAGTGTTGCTGTGATAGACTGGGGTGGTCATAAAACTATGGGTGAGTTAGAATTGACATGGGGTGGTCATAAAACTATGGGTGAGTTAGAATTGACATGGCTGACCAAGCATGGTGGATATAATCCCAGAATTTGGGGAAGCCAAAGAAGGGGGATCAATTGAGGACAGGAGTTTGATAATAGCCTGGGAAACATTTTGTAGACATCCCATCTCTATAAAAAATAAAAAAGAGCTGGGCATGGTGGTGTGCACATGTAGTCCCAGTTACACCAGAGGCTGAGGCAGGAGGATTGCTTGAGCCCAGGATTATGAGGCTGCAGTGTGCTATGATTACACCACCGCACTCTAGCCTGGGTGGCAAAGTGAGACACTGTCTCAAAAAAAAAGAAAAAAGAATGGACACAGCTGATATCAGTCCTAACAGACATTCTCACCTTTCAAAATAAGCCTCATATTTCTAGGAAGCCGATTTCTACTGTTCCTTTCTTCCTGCTTTTTCTTTTCTTTCTTTCTTTTTTTTTCATCGTTCTGAAGCCCTGTCCTACCTCACCTCTTTTATTAAATGCCATCTTTCTTCCTTTCAAATAAGAGGCTTAGAGATTCTCTCCCCCTCAAGACTTCCTTCTACTCAGCCAGCAAGTGACCACTCCTTAGCTGTTGTGGTGACATGTATCATGCCCAATTGTCTCCCAGGCATTGTTCTGGACTCTGGAGATGGTGTCACCCACAATGTGCCCATCTATGAGGGCTACGCCCTGCCCCACGCCATCATGCGTCTGGACCTGGCTGGCCGAGATCTCACCGACTACCTCATGAAGATCCTGACTGAGCGTGGCTATTCCTTCGTGACTACCGGTGAGGCCTGTGGGAGATAAGGGGCAGAGACTGTAGGGCAGTGTGTTGCTTGTACCTTCCAGGACCACAGAGACTATCCAAGGAGATGAGGAGGCAAGAACTTGCAGATGGCCAGGCCTGACTCTAATGCATAGAACAAAGGACAAATTGCAAAATGATTATGCTACTTCCTGGAGAGGAACAGTTATAGTCCTCTAGTGTTATGTGCTAATCAGAGTTGTATTGCTTGAACATGTTTTAATCCCCTCTATTGACAAACAGAAAAAGATCGTGCAGAAGATGGCATGTGGTGACTGGCAATCTTTGGAGACATCTAGACAGGATTTGAGTCCCAACTCTGCCACTCACTAGCTATGTGTCTTTGGACAAGCCAACCAACTTGCTAAGCCATTGCCTCTTTATTTGTAAAATGCGATAATAATAGATCCCATCTCACATTATTGTTATGATTATTAGATAAGATAATGCATGTGGAATATCCAACACAGAGTAAGCATTCAATAATTGTTAGCTCTTAGTACCTACCCAGCTGACAGTGATATTTGTGTCATCAGATTCTAAGTCAGTGTCCCCAGGCTTCCTCCACAAGGGGCAGTGTCGGGGCACTGCTAGAAACACTGGTGGTGCTCCTTCCCTCCCCAGTTTGGTATCATCCAAATGTTTGCCTCTCTAGACAGGCCTGAGGCTTATGTTAGACTCCCAAGTGTGAGCCCTGCCCATGTTAAAATCTCCATTTGCAGGCCAGGCTCCCTGGCTCAGTCCCTCATCCCAGCACTTTGGGAGGCCTAGGCGAGTGGACTGCCTGTGCCCACGGGTTTGAGACCAGCCCAGGCAACTTGGCGAGACCTCATCTCTACAATAAATTTTAAAAATTAGCCAGCATGGTAGCACGTGCCTGTAGTTCCGCCTACTTGGAAGGCTGAGGTGAAAGGATCACAGGTGCCTAGCAAGTCGATGCTGGGGTGGCCGTGAGTGTGCCACTGCATTCCAGCCTGGATGATGGAGTGAGACTCCAACTCCAAAAAAAAAAAAAAGAGTCTCTATTTGCAACATGGAGTTGAATTAATTGCATTCTTCCTCTGCTCTCCAAAAAGAATCCTAAGATACCTCCCAAAGGTAACTAGGGACTCAAATGTAACCAATAGCTAGAACTCCGGAGAGCAGAAGCCTGAGAGGTATCTGCCTATACTTCTTCAATATGCACCCCTGGGACCATCTGGACCAGCCTGGTCCTGAGCCAGTATCATCCCTTTCTGGAGGGTGATAAATGTGCCAAAGGTTTGAGCTGCAATCTACCAGGTCAGGCAACGCAATCTCTGAGGCTTTTAATAACGGTGAGGCTCCTGAGAAGCTGAGTCAACATAAGACTTCCTGGTCAACTGAAAATCCAGCAGAACAAACTGCCTGTTGTAAAACACTCGTGACACAGGGTTATTCGTTATCCTGCACATGCACGACAAATTAAGGTACCAAGGGTTCCCTACTCCGTGCCTTTCTCTAGTCAGTGCATTTTATTCCCGTTATGCATTTTTTTTAACAGGCTACTATGTGTGAGGCGCACACTAGGAATAGAGGTGGTTCCCTGGTGGAATGATAATGAACCGTCATTATCATTATCATCATGGATTTTGAATTGCAGAATATAGACGTGACACTCCGTTTTGAAGGAACTTGTATCGAAGGAGAGATGGAAGTAAGGCAGGTCAATCTTGACCACCTGTGCAGACACTAATGTGTGTGACAATATCTGTATCTGATTGACAGCTGAGCGTGAGATCGTCCGGGACATCAAGGAGAAACTGTGCTACGTGGCTCTGGACTTCGAAAATGAGATGGCCACCGCCGCATCCTCCTCCTCTCTTGAGAAGAGCTACGAGCTTCCTGATGGGCAGGTGATCACCATCGGAAATGAACGCTTCCGTTGCCCAGAGACCCTATTCCAGCCATCTTTCATCGGTAGGTAACAAACATCCCTTTCCGGGGAAGGGAGTCATCCTCTTCTTCCTTCTCCAGTCAGCCTTTGGCTACCAATGGCCGCCTGCACATAGACAAAGTGATAGGGCCCCCAAGATAAGAATCATTTCCAAAGCAGGGAAAGGGAAAATGTCACATTTTCAAGGTGAGAAGATGTAAGGAAACCAGGAAAGGAGTTTTCTTTCTAGGAAAGCACTATGTTGCAGTCAAGCCAAAAGTATTCTTGGCGTATGGTGAAATGATTCAATATTGTATGCATTTAGGGCACAGTGGAGCCACTGGGATGGGTGGGGAGGGCGTGTTGGATGCTGGGAATTTGGAAATGGCAGGAGGACAGAAAAATGGAAGGTATCAATGAGCCTGTTTCTATATTAACACTGACTCGGGAAGACAGGTTTGCACAATTGTTTACAAAGGCAGACTCTGGGAGGACCGAATCTTAGTTTCACTTGATTTTGGGAAAGTGACTTTACTTCTCAAATCTCAGTCTCCTTATGTATAAAATGAAGACTGTAATAACACTTATGTCTTAGATGGCTGTGAGAATTACCTGAGAGAAATACAGAGCCCTTAGCCCGGTGCCTGGCAAAAATAAGCATTCAATAATTATCAGATATTGTTAGTACTTAATAAATAAGTATTACTATTGCTTCCATTCTTATTATATCCCAGCACTGCAGAAGAAGAAAGGACACCTATTGCTTTGTTTTGTTTTTCCAAAAGGCTCATATCAGAAATTACCAAAAGGTTCAGACAAAGCAATTATCAAGATCAGAGAAAAGAAGCCTTTGTCTAAATAGGAGAAAACATTTTCCTGATAGTTCAGCACCATTTTGCTTTGCAGGGTGGGGCAGGAGGGGGTAGTAGAGGTGGGTGCAAGGTGACAGCCAAAGAGGGACTTGGAGGGGGTTCTGAAATATGTCTGAAACACCAACTCAGTGTGAAACCTTTGCAGGGAATCTGAGAGCTTCACCCCTTATTTGACCCATGCAGAGTTGTGAGTCTGTTAAGAAATCAGTGACATACCATCACAGCCCCACCTGGAAGATGCCGCAGCAAGACTTCCTCATTAGATGAGAGGCAGGGGACATGGGGCATAACAAGACCCTTGGGTCTTTCAGACAGGTGGATCCTAGGTCATTATGCCTGTCCAGCTCAGTCCAGTGTGAGATCATCCAGGTGCTCAAGTCTGGTCTTCCCTGTCTAGCCTGGGCCTCACCCATCACTCAAGGGCCATGATCTGTGTCTCTTTTCCAGGGATGGAGTCTGCTGGCATCCATGAAACCACCTACAACAGCATCATGAAGTGTGATATTGACATCAGGAAGGACCTCTATGCTAACAACGTCCTCTCCGGGGGCACCACCATGTACCCTGGCATTGCCGACAGGATGCAGAAGGAGATCACGGCCCTCGCGCCCAGCACTATGAAGATCAAGGTACTGTCAGTGCCGGGTCCCATGGCAAGGCCACCAGTGGCATCAGTCCCATAACTCCATTCATGAAAAGGACTCCTGAGAGACCGTACTTTGGTGACATGCGGGTGTAGGTTCTAGAGCTAGCCAGTAGGCACGGACATGGTCCCATACGTTACAGGATATAAGTCAATCCTGTTCACAAGAAAAACGAGATGGTTTTATTCCAAATTTGGTCTACATGTATCCTTGTCTATCAGCTACTTTCAGCAGCTATAGTCAAGGTCAACAGAGTTTCCCATGTGCTCAAATCTCTTTAAAACATACATTTTGTTATTTTCCTTCATCACAAAAAAGAGTGCATCTCATGTGCAGAACACTTAAAAAAATACAGAGACTTATTTCTGAAGCACTTTAGACACTGCAGCTTCAGTAGCCTGTACTCTTCTTCTGCTCCCAAGCGTGATCTCATCTCTGTGGCCAGGAATTCGAATTCTGTCTTCATTTCTCTGTCTGGCACAGCTTTTGATATAAGTGCTCAAAAGCACAGAATTACCCCAGGATGACCAAACTCAGTCCCTGAGCCATCCAGGGCCCTCTATGGGGTGAGTTTTGTGTCTCAATGAAGGAACACAGAGATTAAATAGAGATCATTCTTTGGAGGCAAACTTACATGTGGCTGGTGACTTCACAAAGGTTATTATCAGGAGTCAGAAGGCCACGTTGAGATGCTCTGACCCATGTCACAGGAAGCAGGTAGAGGGGCAGTCCTAGTGCAGTTCATAGGCACGAGAAGTATTCAAACAAGTTCTCTTATTTGTGTTTTCTTCTCTTTTTTGGAAAGGGTACACAGCTAACATAAGACTGAGCCATCCATTCGTTCTCTCTCTCTTTCTTTCTCTCTCTCTGAGGAGAGAGACTGTTTTCCAAAGCGTCATGTTTCTTGGATGCCTATCTGATCAGCTCTTACTCTTACACCATGGGGAAGAGGACGAGCCAGCAGTTGACTCACTACAAAGCAAGCCTGGTTGAGAATCTGTAACAGGGAGAGGCTGTGACCAGAGTTGGGCAGTTCCTAGTTCTCCAAATGTGGTTTCTTGAATAGAAATGAATGTGAAAGTCTGGGCCCCAGTGTGGTGAGAGAGTACAGAGAACCAATAAAATTTGGGCAGTGAGATGATATTAGGGGAAAAGGCAACTGGATGTGGGGGTCTAGGGAAGCCCCACAGAGTTCTTGAGTTCTTTGCAACTTTTCTGGAAATCTAAAATTATCCCCAAATAAAAAAGGCTGTTTTAAAAACAAAACAATGACCAAAAATCCAAACCAAACCAAAACAAAAACAAACCTTGGGAGAACCCAGGTTTGAATATTGTTGGATCTGACACTGATGTAGCCAGTGTGACCTGGGCCAGTTACTTAAACCTGTCTTGGCCTCTGTTTCTTTATTTGTCATATGAGAGTAATTTAGACTTACTCTTCCAAGTGGTTATAGGAATTATATGAAATAATATACGTAAAATGCTTACTATGTGTTCAATAAATGACAGCACTTTGTATTAAGAAATAAGTGTTCAACCAAAGATCAGGAGATAAACAGAAATTATACCCTTTAACCATGGTTTTCTCTGTGTTCTGTGCTTGGGGTGACTCATTTATTTAAGAAATATGAGCCTACCCTTGCACAGGGGAATGCCTTCCTACAGCTTAAAGAGAGACCTATTGTAGGGAAATGTCCCCAGCAGAGGATCCCAATTCCCATTGTTAAACAGTTCATCCAGGTAGAATTTCAGGAAGCGGCAGTTAACTTAACCGGGTGGAAAGAACACGTCTATAGTAAGTTCTGGCACAATTACAATTCTCCTTTAAATATGCTGGCGTTTTTTCCTACACAAAGTACGTGTCCTGCTGAATTCTAAGGCAGAGCTCACGGAAATCAGAGGCGTTGTCAGGGTTCTTCAGCCGAGGCCACGGCGGATTTGGGGCCAACTCTCAATTTGCCCAACGATGGGGTAGAGGCGTGATGGATGAGAAAAACAAATAATGCTCATGGAAGAATCGCTCAATCTGTGGCTCCCTCTAGTGGGCCAGTCAAGAACATGACACAATCAGGACACAATTGTCATCTAGCAGCCAAGCTGGTGACATTTTTTCTTCGTCACGCACACAAAATCGTGTGTCTCACGTGTAGAACATTTTTCAAAAAATACAGATGACTCAGACTGATTTCTGACACAGTCTAAACACTTTAGATCCAGTACCCTCCTTCTTCTCTACTCGTCTTCGGCTGCTGAGCGTGATCTCATCCCTGTGGCCAGGAATCAGAACTCTTCATTTCTCTGTCTGGCACAGCTTTTGATGTAAGTGCTTAAAAGCACAGAATGTCTCCAGGATGACCAAGCTCAGTCCCTGAGCTAGCTCAGGGCCCTCTATGGTGTGAGTTTTGTGTCTGAGTTAAGGGAACACTGACATTCAATAGAGATCATTGTTTGAAGGCAAATGTGCGTGTGGCTGGTGACTTCTCCATGCTATTATCACTCTCTGAGGTCAGAAGGCCACTGGCCCATGTCACAGAAAGCAGGCTGCTGGACTAGAAGCTACAGTGACATGTGGACTATGATGAAACACCCAGGTGTGTCCTACCGTCCTCATCACCCATCTTTCTCATCTTAACCGACAGATCATTGCCCCTCCAGAGCGCAAATACTCCGTCTGGATCGGAGGCTCCATCCTGGCCTCCCTGTCCACCTTCCAGCAGATGTGGATCAGCAAGCAGGAGTATGACGAAGCGGGCCCCTCCATCGTCCATCGCAAATGCTTCTAAAACACTTCCCTGCGCTCTGTCTCCAGCACACAACTGTGAATGTTTTGTGGAATAATGCCTTCAGTTCTTTTCCAAACCATTCCTAGCCAAAGCCCTGACTTGTTACCTATGTGTTTTTTAATAAAGCTGAAATATGCTACTGGTAGCTTCCAGCGTTGACCTCTGATCAATACCCGGCTGATCATGTTGACCTGACCTGTTTGGGGTTGGTTTCCCTTCGTGGTCCAGCCTAGAACACGACACAATTGGGATGGGTGGAATCACTGCATTAACTTGGGAAGCTCCTCTTAATTTCTGTAAAGGGGAAGAATTTGAGACTTCATGGGGGATTTAAAAAATAACATAGATTAAAGTGTATCAGTGGGATAACCCACGATACTTCATAGCTTGCAAAGTGATTATATTAATTTACACTCATAACTCCCAATACTGATTGGTGAAAACAAAAATAACTTTATACATATGTGTATACATACTTTATTTATATATAAACAATTATATATGTCATATCTTGTATATTAAAAGTTACACACACATATTCATTTCTCATATGTTTATGTTACTTTTAATAAAGTGTGACTTTTAATTTATATACTATATATCAAAATTTATATATATATAAAGAAGGTTTGACTTTTTAAGCTTATTGAGGGAAACGGATTTTGTTTTAAAATACACTGAGAAACATTGCTTTAAAATCTCACTACACACCTGGATCATCTGTTTTCCTTCTCCTGACCCATATCCGTCTATGGCTCTATTCACACCTGAACGAATAACAAAGATAACAATACTTTCCAAGGACTACTAGAGTAAACCATGAAACAAAGCATTTTATGCATATCATCTCTCATGTGTTCTTCAGTACTATGTAGGGGAAGTATTATTATCAATACACATGATAGAAGAAGAAACAGAAGTTGCTTCAGAAATGTGATTACATAGGGGAGCTATCTACTTCAACTATCCCTTTGTCCATCTGGCCTGGGAGACACAAAGATATAACAAGATGCCTTCTCTGCCCTGAAGGGTCTTGGTTTCACAGCACTCCTCTGCTCAAGCTGTTGAGTATCCTTGGTGGCTTCCCAACAGAGAGCTGCTTGTTCTCTGGTGCATCCATGTCCAGGCGGGTTCAGCAGCCACTGGTTGTCCTGAGGAGTGAGAACTCTGTCTGTGGCGGCACGTCCCTGCAGAAGCCTCAGGGCTCAGGAGTTAGTGCCTGTTTGCTCCAGAAAACCCAGTTTCCCTAGTCCTTTCTGAGCCTGTAACACAGATAGTTAGGATTAATACTACAAATAATAAGAGCGGGCACATACGTGGTGCCTGCCATGGCCAGACTCTGCACTAAACTCTTTATGTAAGGGTCTCATTTTCTCCCCCAAAAGTCCTGTGGATTTGATGTTATCACAGCCTTTTTTTTTTTTTTTGAGTTGTAGTCTCACTCTTGTCGCCCAGGCTGGAGGGCAGTGGCACACTCAAGGCCACCGCAGCCTCTACCTGCTGTGCTTAGGTGATTCTTCTGCCTCAGCCTTCCAAGTAGCTGGAACTACAGTCGCATGCCACCATGTTCAGCTAATCACTGCCTTTTTATAGGTGGGGAAGTGAGGCTATGAGCAGTTCAGGAATATTCCCCAATGGCGTACCGCTGGTGGAGGTGGTATCAGCTTGCTATTACTTGAGCTTGGTTCCCAACCCGCACTCTGAGCCATTAGACTAGAATTTCTCAAAAAATAATCAGCCGGACAGGCCAAACTCCTCAGAGGCTCATCTGAAATGGACAGAGTTCTGGGCCACATGAATCTCCTGCTGAATTTGAACCTCTGGACTTGAGGCTAGCAACTTGAGCTTTTGTCAGATTTTCCTGGTGATGTTTATGTCCATCAAAGTTTGAGAACCACAGTAATATGATTGAGGGAAATTTTCCAGCTGCAAATTCATGCTCACCAGGAAGGGACATTCCACAACCACTAGACTTGCTTAAACTTAAGGATTAGTGTACAGACACTTGCCTCCATATCACTTTCACAATTTAAGCAAACATCACCAGTCATTGTCATTACTGCGGAATTTACTAGACATAAAGCAGGTCTGGGCCGACCTTGGTGGCTCACACCTGTCATCTCAGCGCTTTGGAAGGCCGAGGTGGGAGAGCTGCTTGGGTCCTCAGCCAGCATGGTGTCGCAGGCCTGTAGCCCCAGCTACTCTGGAGGCTGAAGCAGAAGGATCGCTAGAGCCCAGGAGATGGGGCTGAGGCGAGTCAGGATTGCGCCACTCTACTCCAGCATGGGTGACAGAGTGAGGTCCTGTGACAAAACAAAATAAAACCAGTCTGTTGTATTTCACTATGACCACCAGAGGGCGAGAGCTTGATCTGGTAAAGGAACAGGTGCTTGGAATAGCCTCTCAGAGAATCTGAAATGGGCATGTCCAGAGGCAAAAATCAGGGAAACCAGAACCAACCGCCATATGCGCATTAGTGGAATGTTCCTTCCCGGTCAGCTGCTCAGCTGCAGTGCCTAAGCGCCCTCCTCACAGTCACAGATCATTAATTCCTCCCCTGATTCCACAAGAGGCCCAGACTTGAGAGACTGGCTGTCCTAAAGTGGCAGAGTCCCCTTGCTGAGCTTCACATAGTCTCCAGAGGTGCTAAAACAAGCAACAGATAGGTGTAGCTGCCTTCTGAATCCTAGCCTCTCCTCTAACAACAGCAAACCAGACTCGAAAAGGAGGGTAACACCCTTCTTATATGACCACCAATTTGCAAAACGCTTTGGTCCCTCCTGGGGCAGGCAGGCACCAGTTTCCAATAACACTGACTCACAGCATACAGCCTTTGCTGTGAGCAGACGCATGAACAGAGACACTATTTACTTTTTAAAAAAATCTCTGTTGTCAGTGTGATATCACTCATGTATCTAGGAGAGCTTCCTTAGTAGAATTTCCAACACAGAACAGCCTGGAGAAGAATTTCTGATAAGAGCAGATAGTACACTTGATCTTAGCCAAAAGGCCGAGAAGCAACAAGAATTTCTGATTGTAGCTAGGGAGAAGGCTGTCTGGGCCAACACATGTCCATGGTTCAACCGGAAGTCATGGCTGCAACTCAGCTTATTCAAGAAGAGATGACAAAAAAGGAGAGAATGGGACAACCTGAGACGTGATTCTTCCTTATCACAGTACGAAAACCAGAACCCCAGTTGAATCCATTCAATTATGTTCGAAAGCCAAGGCAGAAGGGTCGTTTGAAGCCAGGAGTTTGAGAGCAGCCTGGGCAACATAGTAAGATCTTGTCTTTATAAGAAATAATTTTTAAAAATTAGCCAGGTGTGGTGGTGTGTGCCTGTAGCCCCAGAAAACTCAGTAGGCTAAGGCAAAAGGATTGCCTGAGATCAGGAGGTTGAGGCTGAAGTGAGCTGTGATCGTGCCACAGTGATCCAGCCTGGTAAAAGTGTGCAACTCTGAACAAAAAAACACCAAAAGTTTGAAGAGCACTATCAGCAAAGACAGACAGAAATATGAAGGAAATGAAGCCAACAAGGCAACATTCTGCCTGGATGGAACATGCAGTTGAGTGAGAAAGATGGGCATTAAACAAGGGCACATTGTAAGTATTACAAAAGAAGAAACCTATGGGGTGTGGACTCATAGCCCAGGGCTCTAACCCAAGCCAGAGGCTCAGAAGAGGTGGTCTCTCTGAGAAGATAGTGCTTAAGCAGAGGCTTAAGAGTTGAGTAGAGCCAGGCTCGGTGGCTCAGCCTGTAATCCCGCGCCTTGGGAGGCTGTGGTGAGTGGATTGCCTGAGCCCGTGGGTTCGAGACCCGCCTGGGCAACTTGGTGAGACCTCATCTCTACAATAAACCAAAAAATTAGCCAGGCATGGTAGCGCGCGCCTGTAGTTCTAGCTACTCGGAAGGCTGAGGTGGAAGGATCGCCGGAGCCCAGCAGGTTGAGGCTGCGGTGGCCGGGAGCGGCCACTGCGCTCCAGTCTCGGTGATAGAGTAAGACTCCAACTCAAAAAAAAAAAAAAAGAAAGAGTTGAGTAGGTCAAAAGGGAGGGGGGGTCACATGTTGAGATTGGGAAAGGGAAAGAAGGGTATGCATAGGACATGTCCAGGCAGAGGCCCAGAGACAGGAGAGTGTGCTGCATATATGGAATTGAAAAGAGAACCCCAAAGAATCTGACCACACGTACATTTTTAAAAAGGTGACTGCGGGCCAGGTGCAGGGGCTCCTGCCCGCAATGCCAGCACTTTGGGAGGTCAAGTTGGGAGGATCGCTTGAAGTCAGGAATTGGAGACCAGTCTTGGCAACCAAGAGAAGCCCCATCACTACAAAAATAAAAATAAAAAAATTAGACAAACATAGTGTCACATGCTTATAGCTGCAGCTACTCAGGAAGCTAAAGTGAGAGGATTGCTTGAGCCCGGCAGCTCAACATTTCAGTGAGGCATGATTGCACCACTGCACTCCAGCCTGGGCAACAGAGCAAGACCCTGACACTAAGAACAAATAAACAAACAACAAAAAAAAAAAACGTGTGACTGTGACTTGACTGCAATTTTCCAAAGTATGGTTCGTAACAGTTTCTCTATGAAGTGTCTATTTTGAGATCAGACACCAATTACAAGCAATGAGGGCAATGTTGGTTGAGAAAATTGGTGTCTGAACCAGTTGCCCTTCCTGAGCATTTCATCTTGCAGGTTGATTAAATTCTTCATCTCGTAAGTGGGAAATGAGCATCCAACCATTACCACCTCTCACTCTAATTTTCTCATGGAGGCTGCCAGTATTCCAGAATGTTCTTTCTGTAGCAACTTCATGCCCCTTAAGGAAATATAAGTGAAAGAATATAAATGATTACTATTTACCTGATCAGGTTTGTAACACATGTACCCTTAAGGAAAGCAGATGAAGAAACATGCATGGTATAGTTGACAATTTCTCAGAGGCTCAGGTGTCCTTAAGGCAGAGTTCCTGTTCTTTGAGAAAAAAAATACATGGTACTGCAGACACACCAAATGAAAAGATGTTATTTTCTTATTCTTCTTGGGTTTTTGCCTTCTATTTTTTCCCTCCACATTTAGTCCTCTGTCCTTTCATTGAATCAATTATTTTCCCCCTCTTTAGATCTCTCTGCATAGGCTA